TCATTGAAGATTATTTGTTCCTAAAGAGGCACCCCATGCTGCATTGCAGGGACATATGATAAATACTGTAAATGTGAGACTGAAGTCCTAAACTTTTAATAATATTCTAGTTGTGATGTGCTTTTGTTGTCGGTTGTTACACATCTTTAATCTTGATGAGGCCTGAGCATGGCATTTAAATGCTAACAGACAATAATTTTGTAAAGCTGTGGGTTTTTTTGTTCTTTTTTTCCTTCCTCTCCCAGCAGCTCTGAAGTAGTTTTATTTATGACAGTGTGCACATAAATGAGAAAGCAAAACAGAACGGCTGGTTGTACTCTGTGGCTTCTGAGATGCAATTCTTTTAAAAATGAGTTTGAGCATACAAGCTATTACTGTGTAGAGCGGTAATTGTCAGGGACTTTTAACTGAAAGTACATACTGGATGTTCATCTAAACTTTTAAATTCTTGAGCAAAATCAAAGGGTATTGTACTAAATACCTTTCTACAGATTCCAGCAATACCTCTGGGCTGTGATCCAATAATTTTTCACACTAAAATGCCATCTACTCCCTTACCTCTCTTTTTTCTAGCTTTTTCCCCTCCCCAGTCAATAAGCTCTACCTCTCTTGCTTCCCTTTCTCCTTGGCCCAGGCAACATCAGGCTGATGTAGCTATATTGCATTTGTTTTAGGAAAACATGCCTGTCTTCAACACTGTGTTGTGTCCTTTTCCTCTTCTCAAGCTTGGAATATGCTGTCTTGTTGGAGAAGGTGAGAGTGTTTTTTGTACTGTCATTTAGGACAAATGAAATTTCTTAGCAACCTTGCACCACAAAGTTGAGTTTTTGTTTTAGATTTAATGTGAATTATGAACTTAAACTGTGTGTAGGCGTTTTCCTTCTGTGTATAGCACTTATTTTCAGAACAGTTATTCAGTGGGTTATTTTTCCATGTTACGTATGCATCGTTGACCAAGCACATTTGAATCTTGGAATTTTTTTAGTTCATAAATGATATTTTATTGAACTTAAGGCCCCATAATATATTCTTTGTCAAGGGCCAAATTTACAGGATGTTTTCAGAAAACTTTAATTTTGTCTTTAATTTGTTTAGTGTCAAGCTCACTTGTGTTTTCTGGTTTCTTTTGTCACTGGTAGAGCAAGACAAAGCAACAGAGTACTAGCCAGTGTAATGGCATTTATAGTGGTTTTATGTAGATGGAACATTGCAAAGGCAGGAATACATTGAAGGCAGGCAGCATTTCACTTGCTATTAGTCTTTTTCCTTTATTCTGGGGAAAAAAATCAAGTTGAAGATTCACGATATTTTATTTTTAACTGATAATCTGAAGTTGGGCATAAATCTATGTCAGAGGAAAAAAGACAAATTGCTAGGTTTTGTTTTACAAGGTAGTCCTTTGTTTCACAATTCTTTGGTCACTTTGGAGATATTAGCTCTTTTATCCTACTGAGAGGAACTGATAATCACTGATAATAATTATTTTGCCTGAATAATGAAAGGCAGATATTCATGAGTCCTTCCTAAAAAAAAAAAGTCTTTCATCTGAATGTTGAAGTTAATCCTAATAACTATTCTAAATGTAGCCTGAGCACGAGAATTTCCTCTCTAGAGGAAGGCTGAGTAGACTGACTTCCCCTTACAGTGTGGAAAGCTATGACATTTCATGCTAAACTGAATAAAATTTAAGAGTGATTGAATTAATACCTTAGTTCATGTAAATAACTCAAGGAAGGGAGAGATGATATTAAAAAACTACCCTCCTCCACCCCTGAAAAAAAACTTCCCCAAAACAATCCCCTCCCCACCTCTCACAAAAGACCTTCAGGTGTTTTTGATAAAAATTCCTGTAATCTGGAAATACAGAACCATGAGTGGCACCTCTAATATCTCTATTGTAACAGTATGAAACTTGGAATGTGAAAAATATTACAGTACCTGTCATAATAGGAGCTCATGATTAAGTTTTGTAGATACTGTGATGGTAGAAGCTGGGAAAGTTTGTGTGGGGAAACATGCTAACTTCCTTAACCTAGGTTGTTCTGTGTTTGTGTGTTTAAGTGTTGTATTACTTAGGTACGGTGGTGTCTCATGCACAGGGCTAGGATGAGAGAGGACTGACGTAAATTAGAATATGTGAGATTTTGACTAATTTAAAAAAATAATGAAATATTGGAACAGAGGCCCAGAGGAGTTGTGAAATCTCCATCCTTGAAGGTATTCAAAACTTGAAGTGTTCCTATATAGCCCTTTTGAATCAGACTAGCTTTTCCTAGGAGGTTGGACTACATGGCCTTCTAAGATCCCTTTCAACCTACATAATCCTGTGTTACTAGAAAACTTCCTTCATCTGTCTGTCTGACATTATCTAAGATATGCAAAAAAATGCATGCCGCAGCATCTCCTGGGGCTCTGGATATCCAATCAACCAGTAAAAGAGTCCTTGATGCACTGCACCACTTCTCCCACATATGAGACTATCAAAGTAAGAAAAGCAATAGAGAAAAATTGCATGATAAGAGTTTACCCCAGGACACAGTTGAAAGGCAGTTGGGGTACCCAGGAGCTGAAAATATTTCTGACACCTGAGGACTAAGCTACTGGTTTTTGTCAGCCAAAATCATTGCTTTGTAGGGTAGTCATCCATTCTGTAAACATGGACATGGTAGTACATTGCTAGCCTAATTTCATACTTAGTGTTTCTTATTGCCTAGTTAAATGTATGCTTCTCTGTTAATAATAACCTGTTTTCTGCCCTATATTTCCTAGCTTACTGATACCACTTTATGTTAACAATGCAGATAAGAAATTATTGTGAACAATTAGATCCTTCAAAGCAAATCTTGTTTTTTTTCTTGTTTTGAAAAGACAAATAGAATCTTAAAGCACAAGGTAAAATCTGAAAATTGTTTAATTGCTTAGCTAGAGACTGAGGACTTCAGCAAATGAAATTATCTCTCTTAAGCTTGGAGAATTTCATATGTTGTGGAAAAAATGGCTGCATAAGTAGCGACTAAGGTAGAGTTGGAGTGATGATGCTCAGAGGCCATATAGCAGCACTCTTGTAGCTGGCAGGGCAGCTTGGAACTAGCTTGTGTGTCCTCTAGTTTCGATGTGATCTTTGTGCATATATTTGAACTGGTGAACATGCAAATACTGCAGAAGGTTTCAGGACTCCACTAGCATTAGATTCTGGAGCATAAGGAAAACTTTGTGCAGGTTTGCATGTGTGGGCTCCTGCGCCCTCATATCTGTCTTGCTTCTCTAGGTACACAGCTTTTTTCTGACTTGGCAAGAGGCACTGGCAGCAGTAGGTAACAGGCTTAGGCATATCCCTGAGAAGAACCTATTTTTGATGGGTACCAAGGCCAGGCACCATTCTTACTCACCCACATTGTGGCTCTGCCCATAGGTATTTGCTGTATTTATTGAGGTCATGTCAACTTACAAGTTCTGCTGTTTAAAAATTCTGTTAAAAACAATGTGCTGGCTTGGTTTATTTTGGGGCACTTCTATTTAACAAATTCTTGATCTCTGTGAGTGTTTGTGTTCGTTCCCCCCCACTCCCAATTAGTACTAGACTAAAATGATTGTTTGCCTGCTCCCCCTTATTAAGGGTTTGTTTTTTAGCTTTGGACCTAATTTCAAACATAGAAATGTGTTGTCCAAAGTAGCTGCATTAATCAGCTCTGTATGGTAGAAAGAGTTCTTTTCTTGGTGATGGCAGATTAATATGTGTTTACAGTTTCTATGAAACTGGTATTCATTAGGTTTTTGGAGAGAAATGCCAGCTTTCTCATTACTTTTAGGTTATATATTTGAATAACTGTGGTAGTTTAAAGCTCCAGGTTTATATACTTAAAAACATGTTTAAAAGGAGAGTTCACTAGGTGATTTTGGCACCTGAATGGGGAAGTTTCAAAGAAGTAAAATGCTCACTGTCTGTGTACCTTGTGAGAATTGTAAATGAAAGCTTTGTGTTCTGTTGGCTCTGCAATATTGATTTTATTCGTAGACTGTTCTTGCAGCTTTTCTAGTCTTCTGAATAATAGTGGTGTAGCCATATTCAGAATTTAATTGTAAATTATATTTTAAGGCTTATGGATTAAATAGGAAACCTGTGCTTTTTAACTTCATTGAATTTGTGACTTACCTGCGTATACCTCTGCCCTCATAACAGCTTAATTTTACAAGACTAAACAAGTGACTAAAGACATTTTTCCCTAGTCCTCTTTTCTCTACATTTCAAAGAGGATGTTAAAACAATCTGTGGATAATAAGTCAAAACTAATTTAAGTATGTCAGTATCTGCAATATTTTCATTAACAGAAACTTCTGAAATGGGAACATGGGAACATGTAATTTTGGTCTCTTAAGCATAACAATTTTTTTTTTTACTCCACTTTAGAGAACACTTCCTTTCTGAATGTGGGACTTAGATGTGGAAAAGACATGTTTGTCTTTTCAAGACCTAGGTGGTCTTTAGACTGTGTTGGATTATGGAACATAAAAATACTGCGAGACTATTGTGTGGCTTTAAATATATGGGTAAACGTACAGATATGCAATTAAGGTAATAAAATAGAAGCCTAATTTTATGGATATCAGAAGGCGCTCACATGGTATCTATTTAGTTGTCAGCAGTCAAAAACAATAATTTTAACATAAGCCACTTATTCCGTTCTCTTCTGTGCAGTGCTGCTTCTTTGCCAAACAGAGAGATATTTAGACCAACATAGCTTCCATATGTGTTCAGCAACTTGTTTCTACTAGATATTTTATCCATCACTCTTGCTGAACAATAGTAAAACTTTTTCACTTAGGAAAAGATGTAAACATCTTGGACCGAAACTTAAATACTTAGTTGTTGGCTTTTTTTATTGATGGCTTTTGCATCAGTAATAATGTGGGGAACAAGACTTCCAAAATGTCAGCTTATCAGTAGTTGTTTAAATTAAGTAAGTTTTACTTAGTTAAATGCTTCTGAACTATTTTTATAGGGTTTAGTTTAGCAGCTTTTAAGAGGAACAAGAGGAAGCTGGAGTTGGCCGAAAAGGTGGAAACAGATCTCATTCACCTAAAGAAAAGAAGACAATCAAATGAAAAGGTTAGTTCCTCTTTAAAATTTCATTGTGTCATCTTAAACTTACAGCTGGTTGCTAATAGATTTCATGTTGTGTATGATAAGACTAATGTAGCATCAGAAGCCACTTCTCCTTGACCGTCCTAATGTTTAGATGGTATAGTGATAACTTAGTACAACTAAAACTTTCTGCCTTGCTATTTGAAAACCAGACTGTTACTTTGTATTTTGTTTGTGCTATGAAAAATATTTTGCTCTATTTGAACTGGAAAGATGACAAATGTAAACACAAACAGATAATTATTTACTGAAACATTTTCTTTAGCTTGGGATCTCTGTCACTGTTTCCCACTTTTTAATGTTTCCTGAGCGCACTGCATTATGGAGCTGGAATTGGTGAAATTTGAAATATCAGGTAGGTAAACATGTGCATCTGTGCATGCATCTAGCATTGACCTGGCCCATATTACTTGTACTAAAAACCTCTTAGGATTCCCTCTGTTCCCCTCACTCCTAGTTTGAATTTAGGACCTTCGCTACCATTTGAGAATGTCAATCGCAGTATTTGTGTTTGCTATTGAATATCGAAGTATAGGTCATTAAATTAAATGCCTATGTTTTATTTGGGGCCTGTGGGCTTTTGAATTGGCCATTTCTCTCTGCTCTGGTAAGCTGACTGACCACTGCCTTAGGTAGTTGCATATGTTGATATAAATAACGTATAAATCCCAGAGAATTGGCAAAAAGAGTTTATTCTCTGTAGTCTGTGCAAATGCAAACCAGTGATAAATTAGCAATTTTTCCTCTGTGTTCTTAGATAAGAAGTTTTCCCTAGCAAGGTGCTAATTTTTCTATTTTCAAGGAGATAAGACCTGTAAAAAAAGTAAGGCTAGAGGGGGGGAAAAAAGTTATTAATTTGGGAATTTTTCCTGTTTACAGGACTTCACGTACCTCCTTGTGAAACTAATGATCTTAAAACGTAACTGAGGGAGAAGGGGTCTCTGTACAGTATTGATGTTCATGTAATAAGGGGCACGTCAATGCTTGAAACATATGCCAATGCATGAGCTTACCGACCTGCAATTTGAAATTTCAAGGGCTCCAGAGTCATGTGCAGCGCTTGTGGGAGACCTCCAAAGGCCAATGCTGGTAGGTAAAGGAGGTGATCAAATAGAGCTCTACTCACTGGTAAGTAATTGAGTAACATAACACACTGGTTTTGTCAACTTTCTGGGCACATCCTTGTCCATGGAGGGGGGGATGAAAACGAAACCATGCTAACAACATGGACTGCTTGTGTTATCCACACAGTGAGTGATACTTGCAGCCTTACAGGAAATTCAGTTTTTCAAAATGAAATAGAAATGAAAAATCAAATTCTACAAGAGAAAATTCTGAAAAAAAAGTAGAATAATTCTCTCTAAGCTACTAGAAAAAGGCCATTTAGCAAGGATGAGGCACATGGTGTGTCATCCCAAAACTCATACTGTCAAAGCCAAGCTCTCTTAAAAGGTTTAAAAATAATTATTTAAATACCATATAAGTACTTGAATAATTAAAAGTTAATCATCTTGTCAAAGTTAAGCTTTAACTGATAAATACTCATTTAATTTTTTGTTTGCTATGCTCTTCTGGAGCTGCAGACCTGTCCATT